AGTTTATCAATGCTGTGCATTCAAGTGTAAGAGACGTTTAATCGGATGCTTTGCACGCAAGTGATATGTAAGTACAATCGAGGAAAGCTCGAAAGAAATAGACACGTATGTATATGTGTGCAGAATGTGTATCCAGCTGCGACCGTATTGTTTGACTTAATCTATTTTCAATGGACGTTTATCCGCGTATTGAACAACGTTATCTGTCCTAGTCACTGTTTTCAACTGTTCAGACCGTGATACAAGCTAACGTACAAACAGGAAAGACTTTGTAATATGGCTTCGTTCTTCGAATATGTACTTTCTTTCTATTTATACAATTAATTACTGTTAATTCTTTCTACCGATTCTGACGAATTTAGGTCAGCACGTTAACATGACACCGAGAATGATTTGCTAGAGATTATACTTACAACTTAGGATATTGACACTAAAACTAAATTAGTGTTCAATTAGTATCGGTAAACGATAAAGTGCACGGTATCTTGAAACAAACTTGAAGATCAATTCTTAGTCGCACTGTTCGTGAAGAATGCGTTGAGACAAGCACGCGACTCGGACATTTTTCATGGCTTCTTCGGGTACATTTCGATAACGATCTGAAAATGTCGTATCGAGAGTCACCGCTTCCTCAAGCAAGGCCTATGCAAACGCAATACATAGTGCAACAACTATTAACACGAAGAGTGAGTCAGCAGACAATGCGATAGAGTCCAATGTGCACTAGAGGGATGCCGACAACGTCGTCGTCGTCGCGGAGTGTTTGCTCGTCCCGACGCTAAGCAACGCGTCCGTATTCTTTGCGTCCAATAATCGTAAGTAATTGTTTTCAGATAGGACGTTATTTACGGTGCAGTGCAGTCCCAGCTTGGCGAACCCGCAATTGCTTCTATTGTGATCATTTAAACGGTGAGCAGCAGGGAGAACGACTGAATTTTCTAGAGAAAATGACGGTATAATTTAACAAACATTAAACTATGACTCATACTTCTACATCAGCTATATCCATCCAATCTCCGATATAACTCACAATAAACTAGAATTTGTAAACGTTAGTGTACATTATACATTCGATTAAAGTGCATCGTCTTATCTACAATTTCGACCATCGTGTCGCCCCCACCCACTCGATCGAAGATCGAGCAAATATTGAAAAGACGAAAAAGAAATTTTTCAAAGGGCAAGGAAAGAATCGAAGAACGATTTGTACCTAGGAGAGAAAAGAGCATCCATGAATCTTCTGTAATCGCGAAGCGAGTTCGATCCAAAACGAGGACGTAGATTCGAAGGGGGTTGCATTGACGCCATCGCGATCCACAGATTTCGCGCGTGAGTGTGCTCGAAGAGGAACGATCGGCAGTCTCGTTCGGCTCGTTGAACATGAATCTTGTCTCCCGCTGGACGATGACCCGTCGCGTTTATTTATCATCGTCGTCTCTCTTTCTCTGTCTCTGTATACGGTTCGTCTGTTATTCGGTGACTTGCTCGCGCCATCGTCAACCAGGCGATGACTGCACATTGTAGTCTATACATATGTATCCTTAGATCAACAGAAGTATACCGATCATTATTCTCCTGCCACTTGTCATTGATCCTAAAACAGTCTAGAGAGAATCAAGAAAGAGTCATAAGCATTAAGGAAGGTCTTAAATATATTTAAGGGAGAAGGAATCTATAGAGAACCTAGGAGCTATAATTCTGGTGCGTCCTAGATCTAAAAACATGAGATCTGATCACACACGTTAAACTAATTTCTGAAGGATTTAAAATTTGTCATCTACACTTTGCTATCGCTGCGTCATCGTTGTCTACCGTTTACGAAGTCCACTTTGATCGTTCGAAGCCGATAATAGGGTAGCTCTTCAAATCGGATATTCGAGACTGTTTGGCCTGTAGACAATCGTTATCAATATCGTCGACATTAAATCGCTTTTGCGACGATAATACCGTGCATTCCTTCGAAATCTTGCTCGCTGATCCAATTGAACAGAACGCTTCTTATTGACGCATACATCGACGGGAATTCCGATCGATCAGGCGAGGAGAACAATCACCAAGGATCATTCTAGCAGAATTATTACGGGTCATTCGCTCAGCCTTCGCGATTGGGACAAGCATTAAATAGTCGCGCTTTTCTCGAGGCTGGTCTCGACAATTTATCGATAGGTGGACGGCCTGTTATCGCGCCGTGGTTCTCATTGTTGTAGACTCGTTAACGTATCGATAACGAGAACAATGATCCGTAGAAAAGGAGAATCGACGGTTCTTGCTCTCCCTCCTATCGAGAAAATCCTTCGCGAGCGCTAAAATTACTCGCGGTAAATCGAACGAATGACCCATAAGGTCGCGGATGCCTTTCCTCTCCCCCTTCCATCATTTTCTGTCGCTAATCATTCGACTTCTACTCTCTTTTTCCGCTCTTCAGTGAATTTGCAATTTTTTATTATACACTCATCTATTTTATTACGACGCATCGAATCGCCACGCGTTATATTGCCACGTATTGTACCAAGCACGATATGATATTAAAGGAAAGGCCAACTAGTAAGCATGATGGCTTTTTATCCTGACAATCAAGCATCGCTTTATGTAACATCGCCGCCACGTTTGTACAAGTTATCGGTGAAACGAGACGGTGTAAATAGGGATTAACGGTCGTGAACAGAAGTCACGTGTGCGACTAGAAAAGCAACAAGTATCATCGTTAGTATTAGTTATTATCTGGTGGCCTTCTTTCGGTACGAAGTGTTTTAGTTTTGCTAAAATATCGGTTAATTATTTAGATTCTTTCATCGGTTGAAATGCAGTAGAACTACGCTAGAATTTAATCTTACTATGCGACATTTCATCTAAAAAGCCAAACAATATAAAAAATAAAGCTGACCATGTAAAGTGAAATTCTATAATTCGTAGAAATCATTTACGATTCGAAGTATTTGTTAACTTTCAAAATTTCTTAATTTTCCTCGCTGGATTCGAAGATAACACCTCGTGACCATACTCGTGCCTGAACTAACGCGTGTCGATCTAAAATTATTAGATAATTTTCCCCGTATGTCGCTCAAACAAACGGCACAGTATATAATTCGAAAACGATGTACAGATAAAACCCAAATCTGATCGAACCCTGTATATAAATACTCTATTAAAAAACCCACGTAGAAATTACTCATGGCAAATAAAACTCGATACAACGAACTACTACCATCTAGTTGCGTACTTGACCGACAAGTTCGCGGTTTTACGAAATCGTTCACCTACTGACAGCTTTTCAGATGCAAATTTTGCGACACGCAAGCATAAGTAACATGTACAGCTTGTGAATGAAATATCCGAAAAGTACGCGTTATCCTGTTCAGAGACTCGTAACAATTTTACTGCCTGTTATTCCTCTGCTTTTACCAGGATGAACACGAGAAGGATAAAATGTACGACTGTCGCTATTTGACCTGGGTGAAGACTGACAAGTACTTCCTGGTGTTATGTCAGACGTTAACTTCGATTTTATTTTAGATCTACGTACGTAACGCGGGAAGTCTACTAAACAAGAATCGTATTTATAATTAAATTGCACGCTTCAGATCATCGTTTGTAAGTTTAATTGATTCTATGATTATAAATGGTGAACTTTCGAACATTTTCATTTGTGGACAGGCCAAAGCGAGTGTTTACGAAAAGGGATACACGTGGAATCGTGAATTCTTTTTCTTCTTTTTCCTTCTTTTTCGTCCTCTTTTCTGCTGTCATGATAAATATTATTCTTACCGCGCCATGACTCAAAATTCTTCCAGAATCGTCGATGTGAACCGAAACATTGTCATCGAATAAGTGCAGTCTACTCCTGTGCGCCTAATTTTTAATCCGCATACATAGAAAATTTCGATGCTGTCAATCTCTGGAATTCTGTTTACGTTATTTTCGAATCACGTAAATACACTATAGTTAATCGTTGCTCAAAAATAATTTTTCTTGAAAAAAAAAAAGATCTTACTTCGAAAGAAAAATGTCTGATCTAAAATTCAACGAGTAAACGGTGTGAGTCATCGAAGGCGCAAACTTCAGTTATCGCGAATCATTTTGCACGATACTTCGAGCTTCAATTCACGTTTATCAGACGTAGTAATCGTGTTGTTAATTAGCGTCAAAGGAGTGTGCCGACAGAAACGCGACTCAGTTGATTGAAAAATACGCTGAGTCGTTGAGGAGCGCCAGAAAACGCGAGCGTTCGTTAACAACTGCAATTGGCCTTATTAATGCGAGTCAAACACGATAACAAACCTCTCTTTTTTTCTTTCTTTCTTTCTCTCTTTCTCCTTGTGCTCGTCGGCGGACGAAAAATGTCATCATGCGTGACACGTTGTTGCTCCACGAATCTTTCATAACAAGTTACGCGAATTGAATTCGCGCAAGAGTCGATTCGTCACTTGTTAGATCATCGTCCTCCAATGCAAAATCACATAGACTGAAAATGTTCAAAATTTAGTACTTCAGAGAGATCCGAGTAATTGTAATCTAGAGAAGTGGAAATGTAAGAAATTAAGGGATCCATAAGATTTCAAATTAGTTTATTGACCTACACTGAACTTGTACTAAACAACTGGATCCGTCGCGAACAGCATCGATAAATACAAAGCAAACTAGACCCTGATACGCGAGCGCGTAAAAAAGAAGGCGAAAGGTGATTTTCGACGGTCGAATAACACCATACCCGCGGACGTTATGATATTTCATATTTTCTCTTTGCTCGAAGTATGAATTTCAAGAATGTAAAGACCACAAGGTCGATTGAAACGCGCTGTACGAATACGAAGCAGGGACACGAAGGGTGAAGTTGGTCTCCGTCGAACGACGCCAACATAAACTGGTTTTCATCCGAATTCTTCTCTCTCGGAGAGGACTTGCTACGTCGTATTATGCGAACGTACGTAAGTATCTATGCGCATACGAGAGCCTATGCACTTCTCTTGGTGCAACCATTGTCAGATTATCCTGCTACTAACCGAACAAGGTCAAGGTAGCTTGATTTTTCATTTTCTGCCACCCACCGGCAAACACTGTCGTTCTTTTTGTCGCGAAGAGGATATTGTGTACACTGTCTGCAATCGGTGACGCATCGAGCAAACGTGGATCTTGTGGATCTGACACAAATTAAAAAAACCGAGATTAAAAAGAATACCTGTTGGACGTTTTTTGGTTCTTGTATGCTTAATTTGTTCGGTCAGACTTGGATAAGCAATCGTCATAAGTGTATAAAACCTGCGATTCATGATATGATATTGCAACTAATTTCAAATTAATCAACCGAGTACAATCGAACATAAAATCAAACCAATCACAAAATTATTACAATTCTTTAAAACACTCGCGTTGATCGAACGACGATTGCAATTACGTTACCATCACTGCAGATTGCACAACTGCAGTGATAGATAACACCGTGAACATAATAAACAACTAGTTTCTTCGTAACGAATGAAAATAAATTCAGCGAATCGAAGTGTACACATAAATCCATGAATGAATCGCGAGAAAAAAACGGGCTGTTGTGAAACATGCATCGAACACTCGAATGTAAACGAGAAAAAAATAATGAATATTATGAATTACTAAACGCGTAATATAAGAGAAAGAAATAAATTTTCAAGAAGTATTCGATCATCGCAATAATAATTGCGTACTTCAATCGTTTCGTCTTTTTCCTCTTGCATGTTCCGCCGTCTTTCTGCATAAATTTCACATGAATGATTGTAAACCATAACAGTATCGACGTCATGTACGCTTCATCACTCGTGGTTTGAGCAAAATACGCTCGATTATCCTGCGGTGGGGCACAGATTATGCATCACGACCGCATAATTGTATCGTCGCCGAACGAAAATGCGGCGAACGGGTGTCTGTAAACAATCGCAAAAACCGAACTGTCTCGAAAAATGACGATGCTCACTACTCCCATATAGCGAGACGATATACATAGGGACATGTTTGAACCTAGGAATATTAAAGTGATCTGGGGATATAGGAGTCTAGAGGTATCTGGATGCATTTCGACATACCGTGCAAACATATTACCGATAAGTCGATATTTCTTGAAATCTTCGTATAAGTGGATTCGCAACTAATTAGATCGACGTTCCATTGAATTAGCGATGAACGCATTAAATTATCTAGACCGTTGCGAATATTTCTCGCGAATCATTGGATATTCCACTGAGTTGGCATTCGATGCATCATGTTTTCTTGATAATCGAGAAATTTTCACGCGAATTTCTAACTAATCAGTGGATAGAAACTTAAGTTGAAAGATCCAACTACGAAAGAAAAAGGAAATATGATTTCAAGGTGCATCGAAAGTTGCGGTGCATCAACAACTGCAACGTTGATAATGTAACGATGATAACAGTGGTTACATAATTCACCGCAGTGTTTGCAATTCGAGCGAAAGAAAAATCGCGTTCTAAATAGACACGTATAATTCAACGTATTCCAGAAATTAATAAGCAACGAACATTATTATTTCCTTACTTACGAATAACGCGTTGTCTTAGTCGATTAATTAGTCCGGCATTAGCAATTTTCTATTAAAATCATATCGAAATTTGTCGTAAATAAAGTTTTAAATGTGTAGTTCTAAATGGAGATTAATTAATCGACAGAATTTCCCTGCCAAGTTTCAACCCCTTACGATAAACTGTGACAAGGGCGATAAAATCTAAAGAGACGGCAGTGTCGGGCGCCGCGGCGCCAGTCGTCTCTCTGTGGTCAAGCTGAAATTGTAGGCCAAATGAAATGCAACGAACGAACGGGTGAAAAGAATGAAACAAGTAGAACGCCCTAGCTTAATGCACTCCTTTCAATGATTTCTCGATTAAAAATTTCAACGTTGGAATGCATTTTGAGAGTACCACTGTTGCTCCAACTAATTTTAGACGTATCATCGTTGCCAAAACTACTATTAGATGTACCATTATTGCTAAAACTAATACTGGAAGTACCATTGTTGCCAAAAATAATCTTGAAAATACCATCACTGCTTAAATCAATATCGGGAATGCTTCGGTATTAACAAAATTAATGTTCTAAAGAATCGGTGGTAAGAAAAATAACATCAGAAATGGATGGCAGTCCAAGTGACCGAATGAAACCGAACAAAAGCATGACAGCCTAATATCCGAGCGAGAAATGGCACGAAACAAGTTAGTTCGGTTGAATCGAAACGAGTGGGAAAGGCTGCATCGCTCGAGAAGGTGGCACCACCATAAATTGTTAAGATCAGTGTAGATTGACGGTGATTGAGACTACATTACAAAGGCCTTGAGTCGCTTAACACCCGTCGTGTTGGATTCATCGACCGTTATTTCTTCGAGAAATCTTTCGACTGTGAACCGAGACCCGCCACAAGGATGAAGAAGACGAAAAAGAAGGACGATTGCAAGAACGAGATACAAAATGATTCGGATGGGCGGTCCTTGACAACTTTTAAGGATGATATTTAGCCGCATATGCATTCGCATTTAAATACCTGGATTAAGAGACGAATACGAAGGCAAAAATATGGAAATGCCGTGCCAATAAAGCAATTCGACAAAAACTAGAAAAAACAGAGACGTGGAGTGGGGGAAGGGAGGAAGAGATGGATCCATTAAAACCTTAAAATTTTGTTGTGCTATGTGTAATAAGCAGGGATTGACGATGATTATTCGAATAACTTTGCATCGATACTAAAAGACTAATTCAGATTCCACGGCGTAGACTCGTTCGTTGCTATCGATTAAAATCGAACGCCAACGGAGCCGTTCATGACGCTTTAAATTTCAACGACACATTCAATTGATTTATTTCACTATTCAATACCCGTTTCATCAACATTGAGTATTACATTTACGCCAGAACAATGTCGAAGAAAGTAATGGATATAGGTGGATGACCTTTCGCACCTTGATCAATAAAACTATTTACATTTTACTATATTTTTTAAAAATATTCCAAACACATTTTTGTTACAAATACTTTGAAAAATTAAAGCAACATTGTTTGCTGACGGAATGTGATTCAGCTGATCGCGCGTATAATGATTATCGAAACACCTTGTATAACGTAACGATGAAAACGCGATCGATAGTTTTATCGGTCGGTGGCATACCGTGAAATTCATAGGAGCACGAAACTAGTTCCCAACTTAATTTGCCCACTTCGAATACCGTTATCCGATTCGAGGATACCTGCGGAACCAGTAGAAGGGGAACATTGTTCGTTCGCCCGTACGAAATATACTTGAACGCTGAACAAAGTTTATATAACCTCGCGTAACGATATCGCGATATCTCTATTCATTATCTGAATATGAAACAAAAAATAAAGAGTACAGTATAACCAAACCATGAAGTTGGTCAATGACCAAAAAAATGATCTCAGCGCAATCCGCCCGTTCACGTGCAGATTTATCGTGAAATTAGCAGACTTTCAAGGACAGGATAATATGTGCTAAATGTCGCCTTAGATGCAGACGATCGTTATGTTCCTTATCGAAGTGCAGAAATTTTACGATTCGACTGAAACAGATAATAACTTACACTTGAAAAAATAAACACACGCTGGTAAATTGTCGAAGAAAAAAAATGATATCTCAAAAACGTTCCGGGCCACGTGGCCCGCAAATCAAACGCTAACTGACTCGAATGACAATTAACGCATTTTATCGTTCCATGTGAACAATCCTTGTTATTTAAGTTTCTGAATAGCAGGCAATAACGAAAAATACTTTTCGTCATTTCAAATTGACAAACTTCTAAATTTATAAATTCGGAATTTATAATGAAAGTGCATGCTTCGATTTCGCCTGATCAATTGATGCAGACATATGGCACGTTAAAGAACGGAAAAGCGCAATACGAAGACAGAAATATCGCAAGGTATCGGATGCGAAATCAACTCGATGCGTTCTGCCGGGTTAAAAACATCGATCCGCGTCTTCATCGTCATGGCAACACGTGCACTTATACAATTATCGTTGTGTGAAGGCATGTGGATGTATGTTTTCATACGGCACTGATGGCGGTATGCACACGTACACGCGGCGCACACGTACACGTCGATTACGTACGATCATGTACGCACCTCTCCTCTATTTGTTATCTTACTCTATCTTCCTCGCTCTATTCTTATCGCCAGCATGCTAAGAATGCATTTTCACGGTTTCACTAACACGCGGCTTCCGTGTGACGTCCACGGAACACACTCGCCTCATTGAAATACTTTCGAGGTGTCCGTTCAATTGATTCACGGTAAACGAGATATCACGAGTCGATATCGATAACAATTAGAAACGATTAGCGGCGCCAAACGAGCCGCCGTTTGAAAATACCTGCATCGTGATCTTATTTTTTTTACGAAACAGTGAGAGCAACGCGTTGCTGTTTCTTTTTGATCCTATTCATAATAATGTTGCGTCGATATTTAACAAATTAATAATAAACATCTTTACAATAGTAATTTAGCAGCGCAATCGTATGAGAAAATTCATTTAAAGAAAAATCAAGCAGCTAAAATTATCGACTATTGACAATAATTATTTATTCGTTATTCTTATTGAAATAACGTTTCATTCGAATAATACCCATGACTATAAATAATTTAATTCTTTTTTTGGCGTGTCCGATACGATTATTCGTAACAATAAAATTAATTTCAAGTGGAGTTAATCTAACGCGACGGTAGCTACGCAGTTGATGTGTAAAGGCCAACGTCTGACAAACTTTCTTTAACGTGATAACGCTGCCCGAAGGGACGGTGCACTATCCGAGAGAAGAGAAAATAACCGTGGCTAAGTGATAACGACATTTCATCGTCAACAAACAGTGCATGTCAGACGAAGGGACGAAGTTCAGATTCATTGATAATCGCGTGCACGTTCAATATACATAATACAAATGTGTACTAGTTTCGTTTAATTTTAAGCAATATGACATATCGTATTCTATTAGTAATTCATACAAGAACGAATAATAGGGAAACCGACTGATAACCATAAAGCACTGTATCAGAAAAAACCATGAATCATGTTTACTAATAATACACAGAAACGAAATGCATTTATACGAACGAGCGCGTGAAGCGTCCATATTGAAAACAGCATAACCTCACTAGATGTTTTGCTTCGTGTTTTATTCTTGACAGCAATGTATGAAATCATGGTTCTTCTTCCTTAATCACACAACCATTCAATTTAATGCGTTATGAGGAACAATCGAATCCGTTATCTCTCCTCTGTAAATTATAAGTGTAATTCTTCGAGTATGCACGGATTTATGCATAACCTTGATAGCTGACATCACGACAATCGCACATTCGTCGATTAAGTTTTATAAACAAAAATACGAGGGAATGTTCTTGCTCCAAAATATGTTTGTTCGAAATTGTATCGTTTTGAAGTACAGATCTATATTATAAAATTGAGAAAAGTAATCGAATGGAATGCACTTTTTCTTCAAAATTCTGTTATGCACTGAACATTTATTAAAAATCCGAATAGTAAAGTTTAATCTGAAGGCACGTTCAGCCATATTGTGTTGGTACCATGGAAAACGATTAGAGGGACCGAGAAACGCAGCAGGGCTATCTCGTCGACTGGCAGGCGAACCATTTCGCAAATTTTCGTGTCGTATACCAATCTATCCACTTACCGGCTGTGGCTTTGGTGTTTTTCCCATGATGCCTCCGGTTCTTCTTCTCCGATAATCGGCCCTTCAGTAACATCGTATACGCACTTTATCACGATTTTGATCACTTGCCTCGCACTGGCTACGCATTATTATTCACCCGCACGGCAGCCATTTGCCCTCTACCTACTCGGCTATAAAGCCTACCTCGCCGTTTCGTTTAGCCTTTGGCTTTCGGCCATTCGACAGCTTGTGACGTCACATGGATCTGGGTGACGTATCCACATCTTACTACAGTTTTTACATTTAACTTTTCGAATCACGAAACTGCATGTAAGTTTTATAATTTATTAATTGTATACAGTATCTCTGAAAGAAATCTTCAGAATTCAAACTTCGTTAGAAACCATATTTTTTGTGTAAATTTAATTGTATTACGGTAATGCTCCGGGTTCTTCAGTTTGTCGTAAATGCAGGAGCACTGAGATACTTTCAGTACGATCTGTTTTATCGACGTTCGATTGTATCACTTTCGCGAATCATTCGAATTTATTTCTAATCGTAGCACCAAATCCGCGTAATTTAAAAACAAAATTAATCTATTTACTTTATATAAACAATGGTTCTCTTTGTTCATTTTTTTCTAAAGGACAAATGTCACTCTAATACGAGCATATTATTTTTTTATCGTTTTAACATTTTACTTCTCTATCACGTTGCTATCATATTTTTGTTGGGAATTATATAAGTAGGAATTAATGAATACTATTAGAAAATGCGTGTAGGTATGGCCTTTTACTTCACACAATCAGGTTCTTTTTCAAACATACATGATCCCAACTAAAAAGTGAAAGAATACCGAAGGCAATTAAGAAGAAAGTGGGTTTTCGCGACATCTGTTTTGATCGAATAGAAATTTATTTTGCTATAATGGTCTATATAGCAAGTTGATTTACTTCTGTCGCTCCAATGTCAAGACAATATTACCAAAGCTCACAAAGAAACCATACGTACATTATAATAACCACCATATCATATTTATAATATATAATATATATACCATCGCGTAGAAATTTATATATATATATATTTATATATCAACGTAAGTCGAAAAGGACAATCATATAACATACATACGTCGGGCATCTATGTTAATAATTATACGTAATACATTTTGCAAAAAGATCACAACAATTATGCAAAAATAGACGTTACTCGCCACCTGTCGGAACCATAAGAAAAACGAAACCGTCCCAATCTTTTTTTCATCTTCTTTTTCCTTGACGTTGCAACACGTGACGAATTAACTGCAACACTCGGGCAATGTAAATTACAGTTGCAATACTCGTCGACGTAAGAACGTTCTAATGCTTCTTTTCTTTCCTTTCCAATCACCTTCTTTTATTTCCTTTCAATTGATTTAATTTCTTTTTCTCGCGTTTCAGCACTTCTGCGAAATAGCCCTTTATAAAAATTTCCGTGTAGGTTTCGATCCCTAGGATCATAATGTATGATGGTTGCAATATCACTGCGACGTATTGTTTTTTTTTTTTTTTTTTTTTTTTACCCCTTTTTT